CTCATGACTGATCTGGATATGTTCTTTTTGACGATGAATGCTACACCCTTCCTTTTCAATTTTTCATTCCCTGCATAGTAACCATGTGGTTGTCAGATTCAAAATGGCCAATACCAGTCCATTTCAGCTCACTAATGCCTAAGACATTGATGTTGATACGTTCCATTTCATTTTTGACAACTTCCAATTTTCCCAGATTCCACCTGTCCACCATGGGTGACCCTGCTGGTTATTTAAAATACCGGTGGCATAGCCCTCAGAATCACAGCGACTCAAGCCACCACAGCACGGCAGATGAGTGCATCTTAGATAAATAAAAATAATAATTTGACTCGACCGAACCAAGTGAGAATCGACTCGACGGCACTTCACAACAGCAACATGATGCATAAGTCATCTTTATGAATACTTATTTAATAACCAATTTTCCTATGGTTTTTCCAATGAAACATTGTAAAAGCTATATATATTTTATATATATTTCTTCCTCAGAACTTAGAACAGTGCTCAGTAAGTATATCCCAAATTAATGAAGAAATAATAAATTAAAAAAGAAATAATAAATTAAACAGGTTGTTATTAAGTGACAATCCTTTATAGGGTTTCAGAGGAATAGCTGGTGGGTTTGAACTGCAGACCTTGTGGTTTGCAGTCACAACTAAAAATAGATTTTTGTTATTGAAAATTATTTTCGTTAATTTTATATAGTGAATTTATTTACAAAGTGATCAAAATTTTTATAAGATAAAATATATGGCAGAAGTGTGAATGAACCTATAACTTCATGGGTATCTTAAAAGCAAATTTGTCTTAAATATACTGTAATTTTTGAGTCCTGGGGTTCTGCTGAAGGTTAATGTGCTACACTGAAAAGTCAGTTTGAATCTCAAGGTCAGCAGTTCAAGCTCATCAGCTGTTCCTCAGAAACCCTATGAAGGGTAGCTACAGGTCAGAACCAATTTGACAGCAGTTAAAAACAGCAACATACTGTAATGTTAGTTATTAATTTAAGCACCAATTTTTTTTGTTTTGTTTTTATTGTTTACAGATTGTCAAGAACCTCCTCCAAAAAAAGATTCAGAAATTCTGACCGGTTCCTGGCCTGACAAAGCTTATCCAGAAGGTACTCAGGCTATATATAAATGCCGCCCTGGATTTCGAACTCTTGGAAGTATTATAATGACATGCAAGAATGGAAAATGGGTTGCTCTTAATCCATCCAGGATTTGTCAGAGTAAGTACTTTACTAATTTGTGAAACTTGTGAAATATTGGAAGTTTGATATTGTAATAATTTGGGCTGAAATATGTAAGTATTGTCATTTAAATATCAGAAAAACCACTATAATTTTTTAAAAAAGGGTTATGATCTCATAAAAAGTCAACAAATATATATATATATATATTATTTATAGTCAATTTTAAAATTCTATTTTAAAAAATATCTTCACAGCTGTTGTCTAATAAATAAAATGTTTTGTTCCCCAACTCCTACATAAAATGTACTTTCCATTGTTACATAATAATTTGAGTTTTTTTTGTTTTTTTGTTTTTTAATATTCCATTATAGGAAAACCTTGTGGACATCCTGGAGATACTCCCTTTGGTTCATTTCAGCTCACAGTAGGAACAGAATTTGAATATGGAGCAAAGGTTGTTTATACGTGTTCTGAGGGGTATGTAGACAATCAAAAACAAGCCTTATCATTTAAATAGTCAAATAAGAACTGTATTAGTCAGTATATTTGACGATTAGTCCATTTTCTATAAGCATTAATGTAAATAGCCACAAATAAGATAAAAATTTGGATACCATATAACATTGAAAAATTAGAGTAAGTTTTCATTACTCTGATATGGTTTCATTGAAGGAAGAAGGTGAGAAGATAGAATGCAAATAAGTAAGCATTCACCCCAACACATCTTCACCATATTCTGCTATGTGCAGAGCATGTGGGAACATATTGGGGATATTAGAATTGTAAGAAAGTTACATTATATGGAACCTATTTTGAGAAGATCTTAAAAAATATAGAGGCAATAGAAACTTTTGCACAATAATAATAACTACAGTTGCCTAGTACCAATAATCTTAAGTATAGCACAGAATTAGGCAACATTTCAGTCTGTGATACATAAAGTCATTATGCGTTGGATCTGACTCAAGGCAACTAACAACAACGTTACCTAAATTCTGTGGGCTGCAAATTATTCTAATTACTTGGAGCAAAAGTACTTCTCTCTTTAGACTCATTGACTCCATATACTTTGACCATCTTCTGAGTTTTCTTAGCTCATTTCAACATTGTTAATCTCTCTATAATTCTCAACTAAATTAGCAATTTTCTATGTAGAATGTTTACTTCAGGAGAAAACCAGAGTATCACTATAGTTTTATACTATACAGGATAAACAGGATCAAGAAATTACATATGGAATCTTAGTATTCTACCATCATTTATGTCTTAATTTGAGGCAAGCAGGTATAGTAATTTAAAGGTCAGGTTTACAATTAAGCCTACATTCCAAAACTCCACCATTCAAAAACTGTGCATTTATTTTCTTTAATAGCTTTTCACTCCCATTTCCTCACATTACATGTACCACAGGATTTCTGAGAGAAATAAATGATATATATTTGAAACCCACAGAAGACTTGATGTGATATGGTTAAAAAAAAGAAAGAAAGAAAAACAAAAAAGGGAACCCTCAAATAAAAAGAAAACACAAACCAAACAGTTGCCATGAAGTCAACTCCATCTAATGGCAACCCATGTGGGTCAAATTAGAACTATGCTCCATCAGGTTTTCAGTGGTTGGTCTTTCAGAAGAAGCTCTCCAGACTTTTCTTCTGAGGTGCTTCTGGGTTGATTCAACTTCCAAGCTTTTTGGTTAGCAGTTGAGTCTCTTAACCATTTGCAGCATCCATGGGCTCCTATGATATTGTAGGCAATTGCTAATATTAGTTCTTCTTTTAATATTTTCTAGGTCACTACCTGAGGATTCTATTCCAAGTACAATTTTATCTCAACTGTCAATCATTACTGCTGACATTACACAAAACCAAATAGATGAGATTACATAGGCATGGCCTTTCCAATTTACTTCTCGCTTTATGGCTGAAATATCCCTGTCATTGTAGCCCCGTTTGGCCCATTTAGGTTTGGTCCTCAGCCTGGCAAAGAGTAGACTTCTTTCACTCCATTCCCTAAGAATAAGTAATCCATAATATTTATAATTTTGTGAAGAAAGTAGCTACACACTTTCCTGTTTCTACTTATCTCATGTTTGCCTCCTTTGTTCTATGCACATTATGAGTCAGTCCTGGTTCAAACCATCCATGAGCGAAACTGTCTCCACTACTCAGGATGGGCCTCCAAATGAACTAGGTACCTGTCAGTGAAACAAGTCCTTGGACCATCCAGGGTCAGTAAACTTAAGTTGTTGTTAAGTGCCATTGAGTCGATTCTGACCCATAGCCACCCTGGGTTTAGGGTTTCCAAGGAGCAGCTGGTGAGCTTGAACCACCGACCTTGCAGTTCAAACAACTTTGCAGTCTGATGCATTATCCCACAGGGCCACATCAGGACTCCACACAAACATAAGTATATTATGTTATTTTCAAAAGTTACTGAGGTGGTGTTATACCCATCTGAGGAATGTAAATCTTTTGACCCCATATTGAAATCTGACGGTAGAACAACAGTAAACTCTGCATCCCTGGTTTCTGGTAGTCAACCTGTTTTTTGGTCCCTTGTCCTCAACCACCTTTCCTATGCTAAATACATATTTAGTTGAATATCTGCCACTTACAAGGATTCCTAGTGTGGTTAATGCACCAAACTGCAAGATCGGTTTGAATCACAAGGTTGGTGGTTCAAGCTCACTAGCCACTCCTCAGAAACCCAATACATGGTCACTATGAGTGGAAACCGACTTGACAGCACTTAACAACAACAACAACCAGGTATTCCATATGGATAGCCAGTTTCATTGCCCTGTGGGCTAGTAATCTTAAAGAGACTGCGAAAAGCTTTCCTGGTATTTAGCCAAAGCACATTAGCCTTTACTTTTCCCCAACCACCAATATGTGGGCAATTTCTCTCTATTTCTTCCCATCTACATGGGTCATGAGTCCTGGAGTAGCATTTTAGGTTAATGTGCCAGACTGCAAAGTCATTTGATATGCAAGGTGGGCAGTTCAAGCTCAACAGTCACTCCTTAGTAATCCTATGCAGGGTTGTTATGGGTCAGAATTGACGGAACGACACATAATAACAACATATGGGTTATGGTGTGCCACCGTAGGCCAACGCGCATTATTGCAAACTCAGTTTGAACCACATGGTTGCCAGTTCAAGCTCACCAGTTGCTCCTTGAAAACCCTATACAGGGTCGCTATGGGTCGAAACTAACTCGACGGCACTTAACAACAACAACAACAACAACATATGAGTACTGAGATCTCTCTGTAGAACTTCGGTGAATTCTTGGAAGAGCTTTGGGTGGATCTCTGGAGCGGGTAGAGAATGTGAATCAGGAAATTTGCTTTTCATCTTGGAAGGAGTAATCCTTCCAAGTAAGGAACTCAGAGAAATACCTTAATGGTTAATTATTTCTTTTATTCTATGTGTTAGGAACATGGAGTAAATTCTTGACTACAAAGTTTTAATATATTGAAATGTTAGGAAAAATCAACAATGGTAAAAGAAATAAACATTTTCTTAGGGGGAAAGTTTGCTTGTTTTGCTTGAACAATGAGAATAACAATCCTTATTTGCAGTTGAAGGGAACCTTTGTCTTTTTCATTTTATTTGTACATTTATGAATATCTGTTTTCTAAAACATAACTCTCTTATGGTGACCAAAATTCCTTCTCTTTAAAAAAAAAAAAAAAAACTGTTTCTGCCTCCAGGTGTCCACTGTGATTAAATTCTTCTCTGTAATAAAGGAAATGCTCAGACTTGTTAATGGAAAGGGGTACTTTGTCTTGATCTTAAGTCTCTGGCCTTATTTGTTCATCCCGTTGTTGACCCGAGGAATTTAGATTAAAGTACAACATTTTAGATGGGAAGGACAAGCTTTTTGAGTTGCTAAAATGAGATAAATTAGATATTGTGTGGATTATGTAAGGACATTGGACTTATTGACCACACTCTGGGAAAATTTCTAAGATGAAGAGAAATTGACAAGTATTAAGAAACAAACTGCACACTAATGATTTTGCCTTTCACTTCTTTTAGTCATGTAGAAAGACCAAGACATAAAATTTACACAATATTACAATGATAGATTATAGAAGGCAGAGATGTGGAATAGGACTTGGGGAGATGAACATATGAGTGGCTGTTGGTTACAATGTTTTCACCTTTTTTTTTTCCTAAAAAGTTGTTAATTGAGTTGTAGTTTACATGGGAGGACATCAGTTTTGCACTCATGCTCTCATATTTCATTTCATTACAATGATTACAACCCCCTCCATTCATCACCATTCAACAGTATTTACTTCTATTCCCTGTGGTTTATTTATTTTTAATTTTGATGAACACAAATACTCTCAGGAATATATAATCATTTAAACAACCAAGGGTGCATTCTACAAGGCAGCCTCCTGGCCACCAGCACACAGCCTTTCTCTTTCCATGTGTCTAGACCTCAGCTGCTGTCTCTCTTAATGTTATCATCTTTGTCTCCATCTTGGTTGTCATTGCTTCTCTGGATAGGGTCCCACATTCTGTTCATGCTCTTCTCCCTTGATGGTCCTAGGGTCCTTTGTTCTGGGAATGTAAGATTAGGTACTCACTCTGTTGTGTTACAAAACGTCTACCTTTATAGTTGTGACAATCGTGATTAGTCATGGTAACAATTACTATTGAATCATAAGACTCTTATCCCCATCTACTTTCACCAGACCCGTGTAGACTAGATGGAAAGTATTCACTGGGTGTTCTACCTTCTCCTGAACACTCTTAAACTATACTCCCTCTTGAATACCTGTAAGTCAGTCACTTTGTGCCTTTATAGCGCCCCCCTCCCCGCCCATTTTAGGTGTCCAGTGTCTAAGTTGCTTTTCCCTATCAACCTTAGTACAGAGGGATAGGTTTGATCCCTCTCAATTGGTATTTTGAGCTACTGCATTCGTAAGTATAAATCAAGTTCATCAAATGGTAGTGATTTACACTGGTTTCCTTTATCATATTTCTTTATCTTTCTCTATTCGAGTTCTGATCATCAAGCCATTAAAGCTAGGTCAAATGGGAACTATCTGCAGGTTCGGGCATTCTTGTGCATCTCCCCTCACTTCATATCAGCTTGATGCTTTGCTATCAGCTCTAGTCCTACATGGTTATGTCCTTGTTCATGGGCTTAGGAGGTCTCACCACACTTTGAAACAATCAGCCCTTCCTTTTCTCTCTCGTTTCCAGGTCGATGGGAGTCTATGGAATGTGGTCAAACTCAGCCCATATCTTCATTGCTGCCTTTTTCTCGACTTCCACTCACAAGTAGACCAGCATGGTCTCCATGAAGCTTACATGCCTCCTCGTGTGTTGCCTTTGAGTTTTAATCTTGGAGAGGGGTTTATCCTGAGGGACTTTATTGCTTGCCTTGATGGTTCCCTGGCAAATAGCTTGCTTGTTCTTATAGTAGCCAATCAGACTGTTGTTTTTGTTTTCAATTTTTCCTGCTGGTCTTTTATTCAGGAAGTATCTTCTGTGCCTCTAGCTACTTCAGGCTGGTCTGTCTATCCTTTCAAGGTGAGGCTAAGGATTCCACCTAAGGTCCTATATACTACAAAGGCTCCTCAAGAAGCCTATTTTGCTGGGCAAGTTCCGGAACCCCTATTAGGCATTCCAATCAGTTATAGGCTGAAGACGGGCTAATACATTTTCTTTATAATGTTTCCCTATATTCCTTTCAGGAGTCCTGGTGTGGCACTGTGGGCTAATGCGTCAGATTGCAAAGTCATTTGAACCGCAAGGTTGGTGGTTCAACCTCACCAACTGTTCCTTGGAAACCCTAAACAGGGTCACTATGGGTCGGAATCATCTCGATGGCACTTAACAACAACAACATATTCCTTTTATCCTACTCAAGTGTCCATTTTACAATAGTAAGCAAGGGAAACCAACATTCATAAGAAAGTTAAGCACCTTAACATCATTTCCCCTCTTTTGCCCATTTTTGCTTCGACCCCTGTATCACAGAACCCTATTGTCCCGAGTTTGAACATACATCACTATTTACCTCTGTCCCATTTAGCCCATGCAAACCTGCTTAAGTGTTACCTATCTACCTTGTTCTTCCATCCCCTTGTGTATTGCCCTCCCCAACACCTGAATGATAATGTGTCTATCCCCTACCCTGTGCTCTACTGTCCTCTCCCTCCCAACCCTGGTAATTAACCAAGATTTTTTTTTCTTTTGTTTAGTATGAATATCTTTTCTTAAGCTTCATATTTTTTATTTCCACGGTCTTCTTTAATTTTCATTTTCTTACTATGCTGTGAAATATTAATTTTCTTTGAATTTACCCTATATTCGATTAACTTTTTCTTCCATTTTAAAACAATCTACATTTCCCTGCAATCTACCTGATCTCCTCATCACCTAAATCTCTGTTCCTATATTTTACCTTCTTTCACGTTATAATTGTTCTGAACATAGACTGACCTCCCAGATCCTCTGAATTTGTTCTTGTAGTTTTGTTCTATTCTGGATTCTTCTGTCGATTGGGTTCTGGGTGCTGCTGCCATGTATGTCAATCTCTGGTTGTTGTCTGTTCTTATTGGTTCTCAGTACAAAGAATTCCTTTTAGGATGTTTTGAAACACTGGATTTTCTTTAACAAAGTTCCTTAGCTTCTGTTTGTCCTGAAATGTTTTTATTACACTGATGTATTTGACAGTTTTGCTGGTTAGACAACTCTTGGTTGGCAGTTTTGTTTTGTTTTTTCTTTCAGTGTTTTTTATATGTCTCCCTATTACCTTCTTGCCTGCATGGTTTCTGTTGAAAGATCAGAGCTTAATCTTATTTGCTTGCCTTTGTATGCTGTATTTCTCTTCTCTTTAGCTGCTTTCAAGATGCTTTCTTTATCTTTGATTTTGGAGAGCTTGATTATTATATGTCTTGGTGATTTTCTTACGGGGGTCTATCTTTCCTGGGGTTCATTGAGCTTCTTGAATGTGTATCTTTTTGTTTTTCAGGATGTTAGGGAAGTTTTCTTCCATCAGCTCTTCAGTGATCTCCTCTGTGTTCTTCAGTGATTCTTCCTGTACCAGAATTCCAATAGTTTGCAAGTTATTCCTCTTCATGTCTTCATGTTGTTCTTATTATTCAAATCAGAGTAACTGTAGCAGGTGTTGGCTGTTTATCTGGGGTATAGCAGCTGGTTTGGGCTCTTGCCTGGATGGTGGGGTTTTGTAGGGTGTGATTGTAGCTTGGCTGTATGACCACAATTGCTGTCTCTTCTTGGGTAATGCAGGGAAAGAAAGAGCTCCCCCAAGGTAAAAGGAACCAAAAAACAAAAAACAAAACCACAATAGCAAAAATAAAAAATAAACAGATTGGATACTACAGTCTGTAATTGAAAAAAAAATAAAATAAAATAAAAATAAAAGCCTTAGGTAAATGTGAGTATGACTTTAATGCCCTTTGCTCAGCTGGCTGGAATCATTCTTGGAGACCGTTCAGTGTAAGCAGCACCTGTTGATTCCTCCCCCTTCTTACATTCTGCATGCTGTGGTCTTTGGTGAGCAGATCCTGTTAGCATGGGTAGTAGAATCTTCCAGGGGTAGCGGGTGTCCACTCTATCAGACACCTCCTCTAGTCACCAGAGTGGAGGGGCACAGACATTGAGAGACCAATGAACAGGAAAAAATGTTCACGCCTTTGTCTCTGATGATCTGTCAGACCTCTGTGGTGAGAATCCTCCTTTGATCCAGCTCCTGCTCTGTCACACCCAAGCTGGCCATTCTGGCACCTTCTGGCAGTTACAGATCAGAAAACACCTTTCTTGCTTCTACTACAAATTCTACTAGCAGTAAGCCTTCGATCCTTCTAAATATTCCTTTATATGTAGTTCAGAGTTCTGGGACTGTCCTCTGAGCCTCGTTGGTCCGGTGTTCTGTGTTATTACTATTGGAGTTCTGCACCATGCTTCTCCCTAATCCACCATCAAGCCCTGCCCTTCTTACCTTTTTGTGTGTGTGGTGGTTGGTAGAGTTTATTATGTTAATATGTGTAGCAAATTAGCTATTAAAACAAACAAAAAACTTTGCTGGTGGTCAAGGCCCAATTCTGACTCATAGCAACCATATAGGATACAGTAGAACTGTTCCACAGGGTTTCAAAGGATATATGTATATATATAATACACATATATATACATATATACGTACATATATATATATACACACACATACACTTATATATGATTAAATTATTTATTTGAATTCCTTAAATATATATATATATTTAAAGGCTGTACATATTTGCAGAAGAAAACTGACACATCTTTCTTCCACTGACTGGTCGATGTGTTTGAGCTGCAGAACTTTTGGTTAGCAGCCAAGTACTTGATCACTGTGCCACCAAGTCTCCTTAACAAATTAACTAACTCAATTAAAAAAAATAATAATAAGTGTACTACTCACAAAATGTAAATGAGATTGTATCATAAACCAAAGAATATGATTTTTCAAAGTCCATGTACCTAAGTGCCTAAAGGTCTTCCTTAAGAAAGAAAGAAGTTCAATGGAAGGAAAGAAAGAAGAGAGGTAGGTAGGGAGAGAAGAAGAAAGAGAGACAGGAAAGAAAAATGAAGTTAGACAATACACCTGTTACTAATTTTTTTCTGAAATGGAACTTTCTTGAACTTAGAACTGCAATCATACAATGTCTCATGATTCTGTTACTTTTGGATTTTCAGGTATCAACTGCTAGGTTCAATTGATTATCGTGAATGTGAACCAGAAGGATGGACCAATAATATTCCTTTATGTGAAGGTAGATGTAAAATGTTTCAAAATTATATTTAAATACCTAAGCAATAAAATATTTCTCAAAATGCCTTACATTAAAATATTCTCAAAATTTATGATTAAATTATTTCTTATTTGAGTTATTTATTTTTATGTTTTCTTGATGTTGTTGGTAAGTGCCATGGAGTCAGTTCCAACTCATAGAGACCCTTTATAAGGTTTCTGAGGATCCACTAATGGGTTTGAATGAATGACCTTGTGGGTAGCAGTCCTGTGCTTACATTGCAGAGCCACCAGGACTCCTTTATGTTTTTTAGTACAGTGCAAAGAGTAAGTTTACTCTTTTCACTGCTACTTCCTTTTGTGCTTAATAACAAATATGAATATAGCTTAATCTAACCTAATTATAAAAGAATTAAAGATTAGGAAATCTAAGACGCATTTTATTCTCCTTCTGAAAGCTAACCACTAGAAATACATACAAGGATCATTATTGAAGTAGAGATAAGAATCTCAGCTTCATTAATGGACAAATACTTCTCCATTAATCAACCACCTGCAGGAATCTCTGGTAACAGCTGAAGTAGAGAACATGATATAGACATATCTCTCGCTTTCCTGACAAGGAAGATTTTATGGTGGTCTTAGTCTTACAGTAAAGAGGCAGAAATAATGGAGATCTTTGCCTTTCTTACTGATCCATGAAGCAAACAATGAAAGGGAGAGAAAAATGTGGATCTGTTTTCAATTTTGAGCCAGTAATACCAGTCTGTGCTCATTGTGGAAATAAATGAGTAAAAGACCAATCAGAAATCTCTTAGGATTGAATTTATTGAAGGTGATAGGCTAATCACTGGGGTTTATAATTTCCTAAAAGTTTTACGATATTAAAAGAGGCATTGTTCGTAAAAGGCCATGAAAGTTGGCCAAGGGATATTTTTTACATCACTGCATTGAACCTACTCATTCTTCAAGGGTAGCATTGACTGTTTTAAGAGAATTGTGTTGTGAATCCTTCTGCAGCCTAGTCTGCACCTTAGGTCTTGTCCTTTCAGACATTTTTTGTTGTTGTTGTTCTCAAAACTCAAAAAGCATTTAAAGGAATACAATTTGAAACCCTCAAAGGTGCCAGAACTGCCATTTTTGACACTAAGTATATAGAAGAGTGGAAAGTTCTTTGGGGAAGCATAAGAGAGACGGGTACATTGACTCCAGATGTACAGAATCCTAGATGATGGATATGTCCAAAAACAACAGATTCATATTTTGGTACTTTCTCGTCATATAATTATTTCATATAATAATTTTTTTACTTAACTTCATATACACACATGCACTTTTTTCTTGGTATAGTATTCAAAAGTCCTGGTGTGGCACTGTAGGATAAGCACTGGACTGCAAGGTCAGTATGAACCACAAGGTTAGTGGTTCAAACCCACCAGCTGCTCCTGGAAAACCCTATACAAGGTTGCTATGAATCAGAATCTACTTGATGGCACTTAACAACAACAACATTTAAAAAGTTATATTTATTTTTTCAGTTGTGAAGTGTTTACCAGTAACAGAACCAGAGAATGGGCGAGTTATCAGTGGTGCACTGGAACCAAACCAGGAATATTCTTTTGGACAAGTGGTACAGTTTGAGTGTGCTTCTCGCTTCAAGCTAGAGGGACCTAAAGAAATTCATTGTTTGGCAGATGGCTCATGGAGTGGTAAAATCCCAAAATGTGTAGGTAAGATGCACTTATATTTTATTGTATCTTTTGAATGTTTTTAACTTTTCCTATGAATATATTCATTTCAACACATTGGCCTTTATAAAGATTGTAAATACTACTAATCACTGACTTTTATTGAGCAAATCCTATTTCCCCTGTAATTGATGTAAGTCCTTTACATGTGCCTCTTATTTTATTGTCTAAAAAAAATTCAGTACTATTATTGTCTCTGTTTTATATTTAAAGAAACTAAGGCCCAAAGAACTTAAATCACTTACCCTGGGTACTGCACTATAAAAGGTAGAATTAAGATTCAAGCATAGGCTATCAATACAAAGCCCATACATGAACCATAATTATAGTACATTTAGTTTTCATAGGCTAAACAATAAATTGCTAAGCATTTCTGCTTCAGGATTTAGTACTGTAATATTGGTCTCCAGAGTATGCATTTTTTTTTTTATTTTAAAAAGCAATAATTTATTTCCACTGATACATTATGGTGACATTCTGATTTTAAATAACACTTCTAGGAGTGGCTTTGTTTTATATTTGCTATATTTGCACTGTGGCATACTAGTGTGACACTGTGGATTAATGTATTGCACTGCCAAGTCGGTTTGAACCACAAGATCTGAGGTTCAAACTCACGAATTGCTCCCCGGAACCATATACAGGATTGCTATGGGTCAGAACTGACTTGACAACACTTCACAAAAACAACAATGTTTGCACTGTGGATTTAATTTTTAAAATTGTATTAACTGAATTGAATCTGCTAAATAAATCTTTGCCTAAATAAAAAAATTCTGCAGTAAGCTGTCAGCCAAAATTTCTTCTTTAATTTATAATATTGCTGACCTGTGATTAGTATGAAACATTATGGTCAATGCACTTGATTTAGCACCATGCTTCATTGTACCAATACTCTGACAGAAATTTCTTCACTTTTAGATTTTTTTTCAACATCATCTGAATTTCCAAAATTCTTACATTTCCATAAACTAGTCTGGAGTCCTGGTGTGGCATCGTGGGATAGATAAATCACTGGATCAGAAGATTGGCTTGACTCACAAAGTCAGTAGTTCAAACTTATCAGCCACTCATTGAATATCCCATAAGGGTCACTATGAGTTGGAACAGACAAGACAGAACTTAACAGCAACAACAATCTAGTCTACCTCACAACAAGATCCATGCATTTCTATTCTTAGAAACCTTTTCTAACAAAACCAGCTCATAGAGTTAATAAATTAAACTAGTATTGATATTTAGCCTTTTGCTGCTGTTGTATGCCACTGAGTCAGTACCGACAACAGAATGAAACACTGCCCAACCTCACTATCATTGCTAGGACTGAGCCCATTGCTGCTGCAACTGTGCCAGTCCATCTTGGTGGGGATTTTCCTCTTTTTCTCTGACCCTCCACTTTACCAAATATGATGTCCTTTGGTCACTCCTGATAATATGTCTGCAGTGTGAGAGATGAAGACTGGCCATCCTGGCTTCTAAGGAGCACACTGGCTGCACTTCTTCCAACACAGATCTATTTGTTCTTTCTGCAGTCCATGGTACTTTCAATATTTTCCCTCAACACCATAACTCAAATGCATCACCTCTTCTATAGTCTTCCTTATTCATTGTCCAATTTTTGCATGCATATGAAGTTATTGAAAATACCATGGCTTGGCTCAGGTGCACCATAGTCCTCAAACTTTGCATTTCAACACTCTCTAGAGGTCTTGTGCTGCAGATTTGCCTAATGCAATATGCCATTTGATTTCTTGACTGCTGCTTCCATGAGTGTTCATGGTTGATGTGAGCAAAATGAAGTCTTTGATAACTTCAATCTTCTCTCCTTTTATATGGATGTTGTCATGAATCACACAGTTGGTCCAGTAGTGAGGATATTTATTTTCTTTATGTTGAGGTTCAACCCATACTGAAGTCTGTGGTATTTGATTTTCTTCAGTATACATTTTAAGTTTTCTTGTTTTCAGAATGCAAGGTTGTATTATCTGCATGCTGCAGGTTGTTAGTGAGTCTTCCTGCAATCCTGATGTCACATTTTTCTTCATATAATCTAGTTTCTCGGATTATTTGCTCAGCATATAGACTGAATAATTATGCTTAAAGAATACAACCCTGGCACACACCTTTCCTAATTTTAAACCATTTGATGCTCTCTTGTTCTATTTGAACAACTGCCTTCCCTAAGAGTCTGAAGTATTCAGTATTTGCTAGACTGAATATCCCACTACTCATCTGTTAGTTTGTCATACCATGGTGGCTTGTGTGTTTATGTGATTGTGGAAGCTATGCCATGGATATTTTAAATACCATAAAGATAATCAGGTTAGTAAATATTAAAACATGAAGAACACCAGAATCTTGTCAGATAGGATGCCAGAAGATGAGCTCCTCAGGTTGGAAGACACTCAAAATGTGCTGAAGAAGAGCTGCCTCCACGAAGCAGAGTTCACTATGATGAAGCAAATGGAGTAATACCCTCAGGACCTTCATTTGCTGATGGGGCACAACTCAGAATGAAGAAAAACAGTGGAAAATATCCATTAATAATCAGAACATGGAATGTATGAAGTAGTAGGCTAAAATAATTGGAAATTGTGAAAAATCAAATGGAGTGCATAAAGATCAATGTCCTAGGCATTAGTGAGTTGAAAAGGATTGGTATTGGCCATTTTACATCTGACAATCACATGGTTTATTTTCTCCTAATGAGAAACTTATCACAGTAAAGATACATGTTTATTTGTACAGTTGAAGAATATTACTGGCCACCAATTATTTAAAATGGGTTAACTTATACTCACACCAAATAAGATTAGCAAAATAAATTAATCAAAAATTTAACATTATTAAAACATGAATGATAAGAATAATAGATAAATCATTCATTAAGTATTCAAGTCAAAACAAATGATTGTTTTGTTTGTTTGATAATTTATATAATAAAACAAAAGTGATGTTTTTATATGAATGGGTCTTGGTCACGGTCCTTTAATGCTAATTATTATTTTGGAATTTGCTCTTTTCTCTTTAGAAATTTCCTGCCAAGTAAAAGAAATTAGAAATGGATTTTCTGTATCTCCAGACAGAAGTTATAAGGAGAATGAGAGATTTCAGTATAAATGTAACAAGGGATTTGAATACAGTGAAAGAGGAGATGCTGTATGCACTAAATCTGGGTGGCGTCCAACTCCTTCATGCAAAGGTTATGTTACATTTCTTCTCTATATCTTTTGTCATATAATTTTATCAATCATTTTATGTCATATTATCTTTTGAGAATAAACTCTTTATTTTTTGCTCAAGTGTAATATTAAATTTTGTAGGCATCACCTATTCTGGAATATAGTGATATAGTGATAGTTGAGATCATTGCCAAATATAGAATGCCATGAAGTGTGAGATGGCTGTATAGAAATAGAAGGATCAGGAATCCAAGGAGCAGAGATACATCTGAGATCAAGTATAATGGACAGATATGTGAGTGATAAAGCAGGAAGGAGATGAGCCTTAGTTCATTTTTATGTTACCTTTGTATTATGCTGAGATTATAGACTCTACTTTTTCATTTTCATGAATTACATCCTATTTCTTTTTAGAAGTCGTATGTAATCCTCCTGTTATTGAAAATGGTTCCTTCAAACCTGTAAGGATTACACATAGAAGTGAAGATCAAATCACCTACATGTGTAAAGATGGCTTTTATCCTACAACCAGGGGAAATACAGCACTGTGCACTAGCAGTGGCTGGGTACCTACACCAAGATGTAGTTGTAAGTTCCAATTATGTCTTGATCTGTTTCTTTAAATTCTGAAAGGACTTTCTATTAAAAATGAAAATTCATAGAAACAATATGAGTTAGTATTTCTCTAACTGTGTGTGTAAAATAAAGTCCTTTTAGGTTCTTTGCTTATCAAAGTAGGCATTTCTACGTATAATCAAAAACATATTTTTGTATGTTAAATTCTCTTAATTGTTTAGCTGCTTAATAGGAACATGTATCTCTAAGTATTAGAATTCTCCCAATATCTGAATTAAAAAACTGAGGAATAAAAGTACCAACAAACTCCTAGTATATCAGTTAATCTATTGCCGTGCAAAAAAATTTACCTAAAAATGTATTGGCTTAAAAAGATAAAACTATATTATCTCACAATTTCTACAGGTCAAGAAATTGAGAGTGGCTTGGCTGACTTTTTCTGAGCCAGACTCTTGTTGTTTTGATTACGGTATATCTGATGACTTGACTGGACTGGAAGATTTATTTTTGAAATGGCTTTTGGGAGGAGACATCACTTTCTTGCCACATGGGTCTCTCATAGAGGGAGAGTTACATTTCCTCACAGCCAGTGATCTGAGAAAGAGAGGAAGAAGCTGTGTTGGCTCCTATGACACATTGTCACTTCAGCTATCTATTCTTTAGAAGTGAATCACTAAGTCCAGCTCACACTCAAGTGGAGGAAAGTGTTGTTATTGCTAGGTTCCTTTGAGTTGGTTAGGACTCATATTGACCCAATGCACACAGATGAAACACTACCCAGTCTTGCCTCATCCTCATAATTGTTCTGTTTGACCCCATTATTTTTGCCACTGTGTCAATCCACCTCTTTGGTGGTCTTCTTCATTTTCACGGACACTTCAGTGTACCAAACATGATGTCTCTTTCCAAGGACTGGTCCCGCCTGAAAATATGCCCGAAGTATGAAAGACAAAGTCTTATCATCTGGGCTTCCAAGGAGCAATTTAGCCATACTAATTACAGAACAGGTTTATTTGTTCTTCTGGCAATCCATGATATTTTCAGTATTCTTTGCAAAAACCATAATTCAAATACATCAATTCTTCTATGGTCTTTCTTACTCATTGTCCACTCTTTATCGCATATGTAAAGCAACTAAAAATACCATGACTTGGATCAGGTGCACCTCAGTCTACAAAGTAACTTCTTTGTTATTTAACACTTTTGCAGCAGATTTGCCAAATCCAATATATCATCCAATTTTTTTGACTGTTGTTTCCATGAGCATTGATTGAGGAACCAAGTAAAATGAACAGTTTGACGATTTCAGTATTTTCTCCATTGATTATGATGTTATTCATTGCTCCAGTCGTGAGCATTTGCATTTTCTCTACATTGAGGTGCACCCTATACTGAAGGCTATAGTTTTTGATCTTCAACTTCACTTCCAGCAAGCAATGTTGTGACATCTGCATATCACAGCTTGTAATGGGTCTTCCTCTGATCCTGTTGCCATGTTAGTCATATAATCCAACTTCTTTTATTATTTGTTCAGCATATAGATTGAATAAGTATGATGAATGCATACAACTTTTGGCACACACCTTTCCTGATTTTAAACCATTCAGTATCCCTTGTTCTGTTCTAATGACTGCCTGTTAGTCTATGTATAGGCTACTAATGAGCACAATTATGTGTTCTGAAATGCCCATTCTTTGAAATGCTAGCCATAGTTTGTTATGAACCACACAGTCAAAAGCCTTTGCACAGTCAATAAAGCACAAGTAAACATTTTTCTGGTATTCTCTGCTTTTAACCAAGATCCATGTGAAGTCAACAAGTGCACTTCCTCTTCCAATCTTGGCTTGAATTTCTGGCAGCTCCCTGTCAGTGCACTACTGTAACCATTTTTAAATTATCTTCAGCAAAATTTTACTTTCATGTGATATTAATGATGGTGGTAGGGGTGTGCCATGGAGTCAGTTCCTACTCATAGTCACCCTGTATACGGTTTCCAAGGCTATAAATCCTTATGATAGCAGAAAGCCTCATCTTTTTCGTGTTGAATGGCAGGCAGTTTAGAACTGCTTGCCTTGAGGTTAGCAGCCTGACTCATAACTCCTAATGCTACCAGAACGAGGGTTAAATCCCCTATGCTTCTAGAACTAGGGTTAGATTATTTCTTCATTCTGTTGGGCTACCTTTCTTTGGAAGGGGCACAAATATGAATCTGTATGAAACTGCTTACCAAATGATGTCTTCTAAATTCTTGTCATAGAAGATTGGCTGCCTCAGTTTCTTGATACATTTCAATTTGTATTCTGTCAAATAAAGGAGCTTATTTTCCATCAGTTTCTTCAGTGCAGCTTGGACTTCTTTCAATGTCATCATCAATTCTTGATCGTATGTTACCTCTTGAAATGGTTGAACATGGATCATTTCTTTTTGGTACAATGACTTTGTAAATTCCCTTCATCTTTTGATGCTCCCTGCATATTCCAGTATCTGCTCATAGTATCCTTCAGCATTTCAACGTGAGGCTTGAATTTTTCCTCAGTTCTTTCAGTGTTAGAAATGCTGAGCATGTTCTTCCCCTTTGGTTTTCTGACTACAGGTTTTGCACAGTCCATTGTAAATATATCAGAGACATAGCTTTCAGCATGACAGTATACACAAGCCACAACAGTACGATAAACTGACAGATCAGGGAAATTAGCTTCCACTCTTTGGAGGAAGGAGTGTTGAAAAAGTTGTGGAATTAAAACAACAAAAATCATCACATATAGCAGACTGCCCTTCAACATTATGTTTTTATATTCGTGGCACTTCCTTTCCCATTTTCCAAGTTTTTATTCCTCAACTATCATCACTTGTATTTCTTTGGAAGTATCTCTAAGTACACTGTAAAGATGTTCCACAATAATACTACATATTTCATGAAAAAACTAACAAACAGTAATTATATATATGATAGCCCTCAATGCTAATACATAATTCCAAACCAAATTATCAAAAATATAAGTCCCTAAAAGAGAAAAATATTATTACTGTGAGACAGATTTCAATAGGAATAAAAATTAAAAGGAAAATACTGAATAATATTTAGGATTAATTTATGAAAATGATAGAGCTGCCCAACTGTATATCAATCAACTAAAGCCAGATTCTATCTGGACTTTAATAAGAGTCCTTCTGGAATTCTTGTGGACAAGATGGAGACACTGGCTAGTTTATCACCTACTTTGTTATTCCTTTAAATTATATCGTTTGCAGATCAGATGCAGGACTCTGTTCTTATCCTTGCTCCATTACTCATATGTGTCATTAAATAATCTAGCAGTTTAGGAGAAATGTAATACAAATTCACAATTGGAACGACACTGAGCATGATGAGAGTAAATCTGAATTTGGACAAATTCTCTATCCAAAAAGAATGCTATAGGCGAAGTTGAATCTAAGAATATGAAACTTAACAGTGATAACTCTAAACTCTTGGGTTTAGGTAAATGAAGAACAGCACCTCTCCAGAATTATTAGGAACAGCTATAAAATTTGTATTTTAATCAATTTTAGCATCATTTTGAATCAACACTGCTTTGTAATCAACACTGTAGTGGACCTAGCTGCTAATGAAACCAGTCTTTTGGTAGATGGAAAAGAGGTGGAAGGAATCTGCTCTTAGTCCTATTGATCTCAATGCTGTACTGATCATATGTGGAATATTACATTCAGGGACACACATTATAAAAGAGATAGAAACAGACCCAAATGTGGTAAAGTAAGAGAGAGTTATGTAGGGGCTCAAGTCTGTATAATCATGATATTACTTTCAATTATGCATACTTTTGGAAAGAAACTTCAGTGGGTGATTTTATTTATTCATGTACTATGAAGCACGATAATGAGGAGGACAAGTATACTTGTTTTGAGGTCTGATCACCAGTTTAAATCTCAGCTCTACAATTTAATGAGATTTCACTGAGATTTTAGCACTCAGTTTTTACAAACTTGAAAATTGAAGACAGAAACGATACATGTCTCAACATATCATGATACATGTTGGGAAATTAGGGATAATACGGGGCAAATTCAAATCTTTAAAAAAGTTGTGAAGAATAGAAAAACTTGATTTTTTTTTTTAAATAAAAGAATGAAACTTTGAATACTTGACTCTTTAATCTATGAAACTATGAAAAGTGCTTGTGTGGGGAGAATCTGTTCATTCTAAAAGAAATGGACTGTAAGCCCTGATTTTATAACTAAAGATGTTGTCTTTCCTAAAATTTTGGTTAAAGAAAGACATTTAGGATTTGCATGTATTGCAAGTTTTTATCCATGCAGCAAATCTGTAGAAACTACTCAAGTAAATCCTCTAACCAAATGAAAAAGAAGCCAGGTGAAAAATGAAATGTTTACCACTAGTTGAGCATTGAATGTGCATATAATTTTTTTTTTAATTACATAAATTTTCATGGAATAAATTAACTTTAGTCTTATGTTTAAATTGCTAAAATAACCTTAGAACATCCTATAAATACGACAATTTTTTTGAAAAATATAAGTTTTAAACTTTTAATAAGGAAAGTAGCACTTAATCATATAAATCAAAATTATTTCTAATAATAAGAATAACTAAATAAAATATAATTGCAAAGTATGTAATTTTAAAACAAGCATTTTATAGGACATTAAAGAAATACTTCATTCTTAAATTTAAGTTAGAAATAAACGTTCTTCTTTATCATAGTCTTAACTTTTTGGTTATTAATAAATATCTTTAGTCTAAATGTTCTCATTAAGTAAATGAAAACTATAACCCTTCCACCTGAGTAAATTTGAACAAAAAGGTAGTGCTCTAATTTTGTAGGGAATGTAAAGAAAGAACAAAGATAGAGAAGTTGAGTGGTCAAATTAGTCCCTTAGTCCTTCAACCAGAATTGTCATTTAATCAGCCAGGGCTAGTGAGATGTGTACTCCAGGAAATAACAATGTGTCTGTGTGACTTTCTTAATGGAAAGTCTCTGTATACATTTATGCATCATATGATCTAGAACATGTATTTCATCCTCATTATAAAGAACTCCTCCAGTACTTCAGTGATCTGACTCCTTTACCTTGTCTTATACGAGAATCCCAAGTGAAAGTAATGAGTGTAATTATGATAAGAAAAGAATATATTTTACCAATGAAATTTCAGTGATTATAAAATACAATAGGTTCACAGGCTTTCTAATTTTTTAAAAGTCTTTGATTTGACATATATTTTAAACGGTAGCTTGCTAAGATAAAATGTCATTTATACTATATTGTGTATTTTTTATTCCAAGTGAAACCTTGTAGTTTTCCAGAAATAAAGCATGGATATCTACATAATGAAGAGAGGTATCGACCATACTTTCCAGAATCTATAGGAAGCTCTTTCTACTATTACTGTAATAGAGGATTTGTGACTCCTTCACACAGTGATTGGTATTACGTAACATGCACAAAAGATGGATGGACACCAAAAGTCCCCTGCCTCAGTAAGTAAATCTCTTTAAAATTATATATATATATATATATTTATGTGAATTTTTCAGTAAGTGTAGAGGAAGGAGCATAGATTACAGCTGCATTTTATATGATAAAAATAGGGCATTAGGAAGAGTGCTGCTAGCAAAATGACCAAAATAGATTTGTTCTTTCGTGAGTAGATATTCCTGAAAATCAAATGAGAAACAAGACCGGAACTTTATACAACTGTCTCCAAGCTATATTTGAACATATTTTAGTTAGAAAACCTTAAGACAAATAACATAGACTATTTGTTTTTCTTTTTAAAGAACATTTTGTAGTAACATAATTTTTACTTTTATGGATTCTGATATTCTAATTTAAATATTTGCAAAGATAGTATTTACCTTACTGTTTTGACCGAATCCATGCTTTTAATTTATTATTATTTTGTGGTCCTTAGGAAAATGCTATTTATATCAAGTGGAAAATGGATATTCTTCTAAATCAGGCAGACATTATTTACAGGGTAATTCGGTACAAGTTGAGTGCAACCGTGGGTACAGTCTTCCAAATGGACATACCACCATTACATGTACAGAGCAAGATTGGTCCCCTCCTCCCAAATGCCTTCGTGTCAGTAAGTAAGATGTCAGAAGGTTTACGATTTTAGACTAGTGTGTATTCACTGGGGCAAAATGCTTTTGTCTTGCTTTGCTAATGGACATTTAAGAGTGTATGAATGCATGTGCATGTATACGGATAAGTATTTTTAAAAATTACTTAGACTGTTTATAGATATTAGTCAAGAATGCAGTAACATAATCCTTTCAATAAAATTTGTTGATGAAAGTAAGTCACATGTATTATTTATATTGGAATCATTAAATTAGTTTACCTAACATTTCACTAATATATTCAAGCAGTAGTTCATCATATATGTCTGCTCTATAACTGTGTTCTAAGATATAGAGATAAGAGTGGGTGTGTTCCACTAAGGAGGTCATTTCTGTTTAATGGCTGTACCATTATACCTTTATATCAACAGTTCTTTGATGCTCATCATTCTTATTAATGATTGATGTTATGTTTTAATGTTTACAATTTCAGTGATTATAAAATACAATAGGTTCACAAACTTAATATGCATTTCTTTTATTATTACTTGAGTTGAGTACATTTAGACTCACATTTATTGGATATTACTTGATTTGTAATTGCTGTTAATT